GGTCACATCTTCGCCATTGGTGATTGCAACATGGTTCCTGAGCTTCCCCCGATCCCCAAGATCTCTTATCCTTCTGAGGAGCAAGCTGCTCATGCTACCAAGAACATCAAGATCTTGGACCACCTCGAGCATAAGGGTAAGTCCGTTGGCGGCTGCTGCGGTCTCGGTGGTGCCAAGGACCTTGTCACCACTTGGTGGCCTTGGGGTGCTGGTATGTTTGCTACTTCTCTCGGACCTAACAAGGCCTGCTTCGTTTTGGGTGCTAAGTCTGCTCCTGGCACCGGCCATATGGTCCTCTGGGGCAAGCTCTCTGCCATTCAGAAGGGTCTCATTGAGTCCACTAAGGTTAACGAGAACAAACGCGGCATTATCGGCAGTTGGGGTTGGCATTTCGTCCATCACACTCCTTTCATGAACTAGTCTTGCTGTTACTGTATTTTTTGCTGCGGATGTTTCCGTAGATGAGTTTTTTGCTCGAGCAATCCTCCTGTCTATCGGGACCAGTGTTGAGTTGTGTGTGAAGTTTTGTGAGTAAGGATCCGGCCCCGATCATCGGGGGGGGCATTTAATCGTCATATAGTTGTGTACACAGGAGTGTGGGAAGCCTTCCCTGGGTTGAGCCTACGCTGGGTTGCGTCAGAAGCAGTTTATCCTGGCTCCGACATCCTATTTCGGGTAAGTCAAGTTAGAGGTCTTCCGAGTCTCAAAAGAACATAGCAGAGATATCGTTAGACTAATGATGTACCCATGAGCGGCTTGTTCAAGGTCGCTGGTCCTCATTTTCTCCTAAATTCTGACCTGAGATTCCTTGTCCAGCAGAGGGAAACTGACACCTGGTCGTGGAGGCAGATAGTTTGATAAGCATTAATGGATCAGTTTGCTCATCAATTACGGGGGTTGCATGTCAATATAGAGAATCGCGACGCGTGCACGACGTTCTCTCTGTATCCTTCAAAACCGGAGCACGAATGACACCAGTCTGGACACACTCCAGTGAATAGCTCCTGTCCACAAAATTCTATGAGAGATCACTGACGAATCTAATCAGCCACGACTGCGTCGCCTCGTGGAGTCGAAAAGGCTGAATGTCTCTTTTTGTGTGCACCGTGCCCAATCCACGATGAGGAAACCTTGCTCTTTCATCTCTAAATCATATCGTTTCGAAGAGTTAGAACACCGTTCGGCATTGTAGTCTTCCCCCATAGATGGATTTACATCGAGGATTTCCATTGCCCCTCGAATACTCCTCTAAACACGAGAGGCATGGAAATTTTCTCGACCACCAAGTGCGACTACGCTCCCAGAAGAGGGACAAATTAGCTATGCAGCGCGCAGCTGTGCATGTGTGCAGACATCGCAAAGCTCTTCGGTCGCAACTGGTTGTGGATATCTTAACCGTGTTCGTTTAGGCTGAGTGGTAGGATTTTCGAATGAATTCTTCATGTCTCCGCTCGTATTCATTATGTGTAGGTGTTTTTTTCGCGAAAGAGCAGCTGCCAGGGTGATTTGAAGAGAATTTTGTGTGGTTCAGTATTTGTTTGTCGCTGATGGTCTCTGACAAGCGCCGCGCCTTAGTCATCGGAGGTGGCTTCTCCGGCATGTTCGCCGCCAACGAGCTCAAGGGTCGTTTCGATGTCACCCTTGTTGATGCCAAGGAGTACTTCGAGTATACTCCCGGTGTTCTCCGTGCTTATGTCAAGCCCGGTCATTACGACGCTCTGTCATTCACTTACCAGTCGATTCTTGAGCGCACTATGGGCATTAAGTTCCTCTGGGGTGAGGTTACTGAGCTCGACGGTGAGAAGCAGATCGCTCATGTCAAGCCTATGTTCTCTGATCATACCGAGGAGGTCGCCTTCGACTACTGCGTCATCGCCGCCGGTTGCACTTTCGGTCTCTTCTCGAAGTGGGGTGAGTCTCTCTGGGCCCCTACTGTGAATGAGGGTGCCATTGCTGAGTCCGAGTGGAAGCATATCGATGAGCGCTTCATTGAGGGTCGCCGTCGTCATATCTTCGAGGAGCACGAGAAGCTTGCTGCCCTCAACAAGAAGAAGGCCAACGTCCTCGTCGTCGGTGCCGGTTTCATTGGTGTCGAGTGGGTCACTGAGCTTCAGCACTACTTCCCCAACCTCAAGCTCACCATCATGGATTTCCTCCCCAAGTGCCTTGGACCCCTCCCTCAGAACGCCGCTAGCTACTGCGACAAGTACATGAAGGAGCATGGAATCAAGTGCTACTACGGCATGAAGTATGCTCCTAAGGAGGAGGGCTTCTGGGAGAAGATCGGGCTCACTGGCGAGCCTGACTGCACTTTCGTGTGCATCGGCACTAAGGCTTCCAACTGGTTCATGCCCAAGGAGTGCTTGACTGGCTACAACCCCTTAGAGGAGGACAAGAAGGAGAAGGACCCCAAGAAGCGTGGCCCCGGTGGCGGAGGATGGATCCACGTCAACAAGCACTTGCAGGTCTACAAGGTCAACGAGGATGGTTCTCAATCCCTCTGGGGTAACGGTCACATCTTCGCCATTGGTGATTGCAACATGGTTCCTGAGCTTCCCCCGATCCCCAAGATCTCTTATCCTTCTGAGGAGCAAGCTGCTCATGCTACCAAGAACATCAAGATCTTGGACCACCTCGAGCATAAGGGTAAGTCCGTTGGCGGCTGCTGCGGTCTCGGTGGTGCCAAGGACCTCGTCACCACTTGGTGGCCTTGGGGTGCTGGTATGTTTGCTACTTCTCTCGGACCTAACAAGGCCTGCTTCGTTTTGGGTGCTAAGTCTGCTCCTGGCACCGGCCATATGGTCCTCTGGGGCAAGCTCTCTGCCATCCAGAAGGGTCTCATCGAGTCCACTAAGGTTAACGAGAACAAACGCGGCATCATCGGCAGTTGGGGTTGGCATTTCGTCCATCATACTCCTTTCATGAACTAATTCTAGTTCCTCGGAGTCCTCTTTCGGGATATTGTCCGTATGTGACTATCCTTGCTCGCATTTGTTATAAAATAACTGTTCCTTGTTTCGTGAGCAAAAGTGATAGGTCGAGTTGCATCAAGTAGGGACTTGGTGGGTTAATTCTGTGTGTCAACTCGATACAAGTTGACATGTCACCAGTATCAAAGAGACAGATTGGGAGGGGGGTACGTGGAGTTGAAAATAATAGGGGAGGTTCTACTGTCCTGGCTCTTCAACACGGGTTGATCCCAAAGGTGATGGCATGTCGGGTCTCGAGCGGCAGTATTGGTAAATAGAACTGAGAGCTAATACACGAGTCCTAAACCACAGATCCGATGGTCTACATGGCTTGTACGGCTCATTGCGTGCTTATTCATGTATTCCTTTCGGGGGGACTATGGGCGTATCAAGATCAGGTCGAACTCCGCGAGTCTCAGAGATGATGCTCGTGGTTCACACACTATGGGATTCCCATAATGGGAAGTGCTTGTGTCGTGATGTACAGACCGGTCGTAGCAGTTAAGACTGATACTGCAAAGAGGGAAGTACCCTAACTGTGAGCGGTGTGATACAATCCGGCAATCGCAACTTTTTGCTGATATTGCGGATTTGCCAAATGCTATAATTTCCGACAGTCTCACTTATTTGCTCCTGTCACATGAGTCCTGTGTACATGCTCTCTCAGCTACGGAGTATCAACCACAGTTACACCCTAGCAATAACTGGTATAGATATCAACAAGCGAACATTTCAAGTAGCAAATTTAGAAGTGCTTTCCTGCAAGTCGTACGTTTTTGCTACTTTTTCGTGCACCGTATACTTTCCCGGAAAAAAAAGGAAATCACATTCGCGAAAGGATGTCAATCTCAGGCTGCTGACGATGAAGATTCACACTGTGTAAGTTATTGCACAGTGTAAACCTTCATCATAAACCTTCCCAGAATATGATTTCCGAAATCACATTCTTGTATAAAGACATTTGACTAGTAGCGAAATCAGATTGCGCTACTTGCCGAATTGGTGGTCTCCGTCAAGCCACATCACTCGCAACACAGATTTCTGAAAGATGTAGTATGCTAAGAATCTTAGCCTAAGATATCTTTAACCTCTCGATCTACAACCGCAGCACCCAATTCTTCAAGAAGCCGGGCTGTTTCGTTGAATCCCTTTCAGACTCGTCATCGGTTAAGCGCACCTTATAGTGCTCCTCTACTCTAGCAAACAGACTGTATATCACTATTGATATACTTCCTCAGAGTATCACCCACAATAGCTTCACTAGCTTGGTTTGTGCGACTTCTCGCATCACTCAGCTATTGCGTTGTTCGTTCTGCTGCTTAGCTCGTTCAAACGCCATTTCTACTACGCAATGTTCAACGTAATGAGTTACCCATTATGGGCATTGGTTCGCTTACACTACGCTTACACGTTACACCTATGGCCCCCACTTCACTCCAGTTTCCTCTCCGTAGCTTTGCTTATCTATCAAGTACCCATCAAGCGTAACACTTCATAGCTCATTTATCACCGGATTACTTCGTGACAACATGATCTATACAGCATAACATTTCGGAGGTAGCGCGAGCTATAACCAAAGTCGAATACGGAGAATTATTCAGTACATGCAATTATGTTATCATGCGGATAGTATAATTGCCACTATACGGCACCAAGCAGATGTGGAGGATCGCGGCTAAAGTGAAAGTTATCATTCCCTAATATCCTCAGGGTCGCTGAGTTAGTGAGGACCCCCCACCTGATTCGCATCATACAAATTGCGGAAAACCATGATATTCCACGTGCCGCACCAATAGACTGCCTTTTTAGAGCAATTATTATCGACTGTGTTAGGAGTGTTGAGGACCTATACAGGCGAAAACTCAACATGGCGAAAATTCCCAAGTGTGAACTTCAGCATCCCAGGCACGCAACATTCGCCCAGTTCGAATTACACGCGTGGTAATTTGCTCTGTCCTTCTCGGAAACTTGTAGTGGCAAAGCGGCAATTTACTCCATTGTGGACTTGCATATTCGTAAAGCAGCAAACTGCCCCTCTGTAAAATGGCAGTTTGCTCAATGGTACAAGGAGCAGTTTACTGGCTCACCCCTTTTATGGACAAACTTGCTCAATCTTGTTACATAGTAGCACTTCACATAGCGGCAATCTCTATATATTGTGGCAATTTTCTGGAATTCTGCAATTTTCAACCAAACCGTCATAATTACACGAAACGTTCGATCTTTGGTAGAGACAGTGAGAGACCTCCTCATCAGCGCACTGGACATTCCTGATTATCCTTCTTCTTCTGGTGATGAGCTTGCAGCCGCCCTGTCCGCCAGCTCAGTCTGACGCTCTGCCTCGCGACACTTGAGGGGGACGTAGTCCTTCATGTCCTCTTCCTCAACGAGGTCACCAACATCCAACTGCAGTATATCACAACTGACAACGAACGAGTATCACATGACACTCTTTTAGTGACACCCCCTCACTGTTTCGAGCCGAGTAGATCAGCCATGGACGGTCTGGTCCGACCGAAATCGCCATGGACGAACTCTTTGATGTACATTCCGGCACTGCATGCAAGGGACACCTGGCACGACCAAGCTAAAACTCATGCCCACTCCTCCGCGCGAGGACCTTGAGATAATGAGGGTTCACCATCTCGCAGGTTATGCTGTGCATCATTTTCCTTCGCATGGCGTTGGCTCGTCGATGCATAACTCGAAGGGGAGTCCGCTGCTGTATTTCGACTTCCTTCATGGCGTTCACGCGAGCCACCACCTCCGCTGTGACCGGGTCTTCGCTCCACACCATGCATACGTACCTGAGGAAGAACCGGCATGCCTTTCTCAAACCATCTCTAGCCCTACAGTTTAGTGTGGCGCTCACTAGACCAGCCCAACCACTCCATCACATGCTTGTCCGCCGGGTGGATGAACATAACCTCAAAGGCATCCGTCTTGGCCGCAAGGGCATCCCATGACACCTTGTGGTGCGGCAAGAGCAGATTCCTATGGGCATCAGGGATCTGCAAAACAGTCCTGCTATACCCTTGACAATAGATAGCAACGACTCACCTCCACAGCAAATGGGCGACCATTACCGAGCATACGTACATCGACATCCTCACGACCAGCACTGCAGAAACTACAGCGTGTCCAGTCCGCTCCAAGGGCCTCGCAGATCGGCTCTGATGAATAACCCGGTCAGTATTAACTCGAAAGCGAGTTCGCTCACTCAGCGCAATCTCCGAGGCAGAGGTCTCACACCGACTACGGGGTTTGCTTCCATCATGGACCAGCCAGGGGGTCTGGGAGATCTTCCGACTGAACTTCCTATACCTCCCAAAGAGATATATGCTATCACGACTGATCACTGCCTCCAGCGTTGGTCTGAACTCAGGTGTCGTGTTGGGGTACGCAATCATGCACTGGGCGAGGTCATCAACACCTGCCATCCAGTGACCATCCCCAACCTCATCAGAGATCGCAACACCACCTAGTAGAGTCTCCAGCCTGTCGGAACTCTGCCCTTTCATCGCCTTAATGATGGTATTGGTTGATGGCAACTCTTCGGAGCTTTCAGGGGAGGACTCCTCATTAGTAGGCTGACCATCACACTTCAGTGGTGACTTTACATCCCCACACTCACGTCGCTAGAGGACCCTCGCCTGTCCTTGTCTCTGCGCCACCTTCCCTTACCCTTCCCTCCCTTCCGAGCAAATTTCCTATCGTCCTTCCAACCTGAAACAGGAAGCTCATGAGACTCCTTGAGCGCGACAAGAGGCCTCTACGCGATGGCGGCTTGATGCGTTGTTCACTGGCCAACGCTGAGCACTCCAACTGGTCAGCAGCCGGAGAATTCACCTGAGTACTCATGAAAAAGAGGAGAAGGAGGCAGATACACTGTCACTACCTCTAGAGTAACCCTGAAGTAAGCTTCCGCCACTGGGCCTGAGCCTGCAAGAGTTTCCTCCGTCAGGCCAGGGGTCATAGCCCGCATCTTGCGATGAAGCTCAGGCAAGAGCACCCAGCGGAGGACCTCTCGAACCTCTGGTACCTAACAACCCATCATCATGTGAGCTCAACGCAACAGAAAAGAGAATTCCACTATACTGCATGGCATTCAATGTAGTCTGAACAGCCACTCGACATACTCTTGCTACAAAGGGTCTGCAGCCCAGACGGTACTACTCCCACACGGTCGGGTATCACTTGGGAGAGTATATACGGCATCAATGTACTACGGATGATAAGAGACGAGACCCCCCATGACTACTGACCTCATCGACTTCCCCTCGCTCGTAGAGGACCTTCTCGATGAATCCTCGGACGACCAAAGCAGGTGATAAACGAGTTGAGAGGACAAGATCGTAGGTATCCTCAAACCTAAAAACGGAATAGGTCCGTTGGCAGACCACATGTGACGTACCCTGATGCATCGATCGCCGCAACGATCTCTTCCATCACCCGATTCTCGTGCCCAGAGACCCAGGGATCCTCTAATAGACCAAAACAGCCTCCACACAGATATTCCGGCTCGGATCTGACAGCGCAAAGACGAGCAGATCACTCTCGTGTTTGCGATAACGATCCAATAATGACAACTCCCCATTCGATCGAGCCACTAAAATTCCCCCGCAGTACTACCGACACTCCTCCTCTGAGGGTGGTCCCACCCAGTCCGCTGCCTTGTATTGCTCTGGGTCCTTCACACCTTTGTATCGCAGCTGGCACCGCCAGCACAAGTACTCTGCCAGCTCAGGCTTCGGGACATTGAGAGGAGCAGTCATGACGGATGAATCCCACTAGGAAAGAGAACCCGCCCGCACCCCGAACTCGACGAGATCGCTAGAGTGGATAATAGCTGGTACTGGGATGACCCCAACGAAGGACCAGTCAGACAGTCGATGCGTAATGCAAAAAGTGGCCACAAGAAACGACAATAACACGACTAGTCGTAAGGTTGGAAACCATCAACAGTGACAGCAACATACTGTTGTAGATCTGTCCTTCCAAATTGTATTTCTCGAGAAGAGCATCAGGAGCATGTCGCCTGATATTCCTCAAGAGCTCTCGTTCGCTGAGGTCAGCGTATTCAGGACCGAACTCCGCCAACACCTAAGACACTCCTATTGATTAACATGAAAGATGGCCTACCATCCCGTACCCGAATATTGTGTAGGAGGATACTGCTGATCCAAGGGTGGCGCCTCTACGCTGCTCGACTGAGCCGATGCTTCATGATTTTAATGGGATACAGTCCGGACGGCAGACGGACCTGGACTAGAGGCCGTCCCCCAGAGTGGAGGGGTGTCAGTTACCAGGGCTTTGATGTTGCACTAGTGATGATGGTAATGAGCTTGACCCAGGATAGGAGGTGGGCACAGACACAGTAGAAATGGACAGTGATATTATCGGGTAATGAGTACAGTATAATAACCGACAATGGAGGAGCGACCCTTACTCTCAAAGTTCTGACTTCTGCTAGCCCTGACCCCCAAGGCGATCCTCGGTAACATATTAGCACCAAACTATTGCTGTTGAGCCCCATTGGTCACCTGATTTCGTGGGGCCCAGTAGAGCGAGTACTTGAAGCTGGAGGATAAGTAGGTCTAGCGAATACCGCGGCGTCATTGGTGGTCGAAGGGTAGTAATGAAAAGGGGTCCGACCGGTCGCCAACGGGGTCTCCCCAGCCTCTGTTGGGTCTACGCGTAAATTGTGGGACGGCACTACCATGACGACAGGAATTAAAGATAAAACCCTCCCACCATACCATCCATCCTCCACTTCCCATCGAAAAGACCTTCCTACGGCTCATTTAATTACCTATCAACACAACTCGGACGGTGATTGAAACAACAGTAGCAAGGACTCAGTATGCTTCTAGTGAGGGAGTTAATAGTCATCACCTCTAGTGACTACCTCCTTACATGTGCCTGAGAGAGCATCACCATGAGAGGAAGTGGAAAAGGAGTGGTATGACTTACTTCTCAGGATGATACTATGCTCAGATTGACTGGAGTAACTTCCCTTGATATCGACAAGTGGAGGATAGGGTACAACAACGTCGTTATCGACCAGCGATTTCAATGACAGTAGATGCCTAAACCAGGCAGAGCATATCAAAGGTCTACCTTTCTGACTCCCAGTGGTACCTCGTAGCGCCGCAATCATCGAGCCAACGACGGCACCAAGGTAGTGTACTGAAGTATTTGTTGATAGTGTGAAGGAGGCCCCTAGCTCCCTTAAGTCGGAGCTGTTGGGAAGCAGCATGTGAGTCCAACTAGGAGAAGGGGAAGGTGTAGACACAGGTGAGAAGAGCTGTAAAGTAGTACATCGAAGGTCCGCATGTAATGGCTGCATTCACCCTCCTCTATACAGTAGCCCCGACCAGTGCTCGCGAAGGTTTCGACGGCATAGAATTGGCCTGAAACGTCACTCGCCACGAAATTCGTAATTCGAAAATCGTAGCCCTAAGCCCTACCTTCCTCCATGCATCCTGGCTCGTCGTTTTTGACGATGGGTACACCCTGTCCACCATGCATCTGGTATTTGCCCAGCGAGTGCCCGCTCAGGTTTTCGATGGCTTTGATGGGGATAGCCTATAACAACCGATGATACTCCCACTTACACCAACAACCTTACCTCGGCACCATCCCTTTCGAGGAACTCATAACTCTCTATAGCCTCCTGAATGACCTCACCAATCTCGGAGAATCTGCAAAAGGAGTGGTACGGAATTGGCCCCTCCCCCCGGACAGCCATCACCTCGCGTCTATACCAGCGAAATTGACACCAGCTCTAGTTCCTTCTTTGGTTGCCTCGATCAAGGGATCGAACTTCGGGTCGAATGCAATGGTGAAAGCGCAATCTGCGATACGACCTCCAACCTGACATACACCATGAAGGCGCCTAGAGGCTCCACCCGAGCCCACCTGCGTTCCGAAGTCGAGTTTGCAGATATCGCCCTCCTTCAATACAGTAGTGTCACCATAATTAGGACTGTAATGAGCAGCCACGTTGTTAAGCGAACCTACAAAGGAGAGACGATCCCTTCTCCCATCAGAACCGGGCGATGTCATTACA